TTTTTTTTGATCTTCTGAATAACTTAATATGCCAATATTGATTTTTATTTAACAAATTTTAGTTTTATAAGGTGAAAAAGGAAAGTTAACATGAGGTTTAATAAATAAAGTCTAATGATGCTTATGCCATTATCAAAATGAATCGAAGGATATAAAAAAAACAATCATTTTTAATCATAGGATTACCAAATAACCATAAAATGATCTTTTTATTCAATCTGCAATTCACCATCCAAACGATAAATTATTTGACAATTATAAATGTTATACAAACACTTAATTTGTTTTTCTTTTCTATTATCCTTATGAAGTTCAAAAAAAATAAATTTTAGCACCGTCGTAATACCCTTTTTACCTTACACAATTATAAAAATGTGTCGGTAAGGAAAACCAACAAGCCTAATAATAGATTATGAACTTAATAATATTCTTTAGAATTGCTGATTTTCCCTTAGATATTCATATATATTATATATGTATAGTATAATTTAGTTTAATATATATCGATATAAGGCCGGGTTAAATTCTGGAAAATCTGGCAAAAATTGACCGACCGAATATTTGCCGATTCGATAAGTCTTGATAAGTTTTTGATTCGGATTTGAATTAAAACTTATCGAATCGGCAAATATTCGATCGGTCAATTTTCCCAGAATTTATGAAAACAATTGTAATGACCAAGTGGGTTTCTAAATAAATTTTTATATATGAAATTAAAAAAAAAAGCCGACCGGCCGGTTAAAAGTTTCATGTTATGAAACCAAGATATTAAATTTGTGTGGCCTAATAATAATAGTAATAATAATTTAGGTGCGATCGACCAATCAAAACCCACACCAAAACGACACCGACAAATGGCGCAACCATAATAAAAGCGCCAACAATTAAATCATGCCTGAGTAATAAAAAAATAAAAAAAGCGATTAATAATAAAAAAAATACCACTACGTATAAAGAGTACCATTAGCAAATTCGGTTGTAGCAGAGACCTTTATCTGGCCACGATATGCTACGTACGTATAAGTGTTAAATAATTTTTATTCAGTACGTATCGGTATTATATCTATTAAAAATTTCGAATTTCGGAATAGACATCCGAGCAGTCACGTGCTCATCCGGAGCGCATTATAACGTATATTGGGTATTGCTAATTTTCACCGTGGGGAAATATTGTAAGATCGATTTTATATACGTAAAACTTATTATTTTTTTATTAATACTGATTTTCTTAATTTATTATTTATTTGCACATCAAGCAGTTTTTGAACCATCATTCTGTATCAATTTTTATCACTTCTCTATTCCTAACTATAAACCCCCATACCCTAATATTACCACTAACCCTAATCCTATTTCTATTTGTTACAAAAAACCTATCACTATTTACCCTTCTGAACTATAAATCAGATTTCAAGATCAAGCACAGCGTAACACGATCAAGAAAATTCGGATAAAACGTTCGTTTTGTCAAAAATCGCTTACTCTCTTCTGATTCTCAACTTTGACCTTAACAAAAACAGAAAAACATTAGCGAAGATACCAGCAACGAAATGAAATGCCAAAAGCAGTACATCAAAAAAATAAACCTAAATACGTCGCCAGTTTGTGCCAGACTAAAAATCAAATTCCAAGATCAGGTGCAACATAACACGATCATAGCGGTTTGCAAAAAGGTGTGACCCCACGATTTTCGTGACAACGATAGCGGAGAATTTCGAAAATTCCAAATATTCTATCAATAATATATTCGATCAGTGATATCTATATGTATTTGGAATTTTGTATAATTCTCTTAGAATCGAAAATCGGCCAATTTACCGCGATTTTAAATTACACGATGATCTGTAGAGGTTACACCTTTTTGCAAAGCGCAATAAAAAATTTCAAAATAAACGTCCATTTTGTCAAAAATCGCTTACTTCTAAAAATCATCGTATGAAATCGCTAATGCTTTAATAAAAAGTTGTCGTTAAGCAAATTCACTTTATAAACTTACATAAACGAACTTTAAAAAATTTTTGTTACACACAAACCTGGCACACGTTGAAGAATTGTACGCCGAAGCAAGAATAAAAACTAGCATACAACGACACCAAGCGATGCACTAGCGAAAAAAGTAGAAATATATATTTAAAAAACACCACTAATTGAAGATAACAATGCCAAAAAAAATGATAACAAAAAGTGATGACGCCAAAAAACGACGACGCTAAAAAAACGACGACATGGAAAAAGGTAACGACATTATTACTGTTCACGTGTAACCGAAAATTTCTTCCTGTATCCTAATTTAAAAAAAAATAAAAACTTAAATTAGTTTACAGTAAGTTAAATTAATAATTAAATTTTATATTATATAAAAAATAGTTTAGTATAATATCTAGTTTACTTAATATATATCTATAGAAGTTATCCCGAATGGAGAAGAACGTTCACAGTATTTTGCAACTGTGGCCACGAAGTGCTTTCGATTCTCCGGGTTTTTAATAAAGGTGTGTTGTCATCTACTTAGCCGAAACCGGGAGAAGAACGTTCACAGCATTTTATAACTGCGGCCACGATGAGCTTTCGATTCTCCCAAGTTTTACACCCAGTGGGAACGTATAAGAGGCACGACAGACACGAACCAAGTGAAATCCGACATAGTTATGGATATAATAAGGTAGATTCATAACTAATTCCTCATCCGGAACCAGTAGAACCTAAACCATAACATCGAGTTTAAAATATTAAAAATATTTTAAACATCCACCCAGTAGAGTCGACGGAGATTAAAATATTAAAAAATATTTTAAAAGTCCATCTGATAGATATCTCCATAAGATATAGAAAAAGTAAATTCGATATTATACTTGGAGCTTATAACAGCTCCCTATCTAAATATAATGAAAAATTCAACAATATTTAACTTACATTTAGAGAACCTCAAAGCTTCGCAGAGATCACGTAAACGTCAAGAACTCCATACAAATGTCGTCAAGAACTCTATAAACGTCGTCAAGAACTCTACATAAACGTCGTCAAGAACTCCACATAAACGTCGTAAAGAACTCCACACAAGCGTCGTCAAGAACTCTACGCAATCGTCAAGAAACTCCAGAAAGATCCATAAAAAAACAAATTAAATAAATTAAATTTAAAATAAATGATGATCAAAATAAGTATTGTTTATTTTTAATGACACGTAATAATTGATCACGGGAAAACATCCATATGATTGGATAATCTACCAAAACAACAAAGCACGTGATGTATCTTCTTAGACGGCATCCACAATTTACGTTACTGTAAACTAGTTAAACTAGGAAAACGGGATCCATTGGATTCTGGAGCACCGCTTCATATTAGTAAACAAACTTTCAAAGTTGCTTAGTGGATCTATTAATTTATAGTATGTTAGTGAAAATTTTTTAGTGTAAATGTATAACTGCTCTATAAAAATGTAATAATTATTAACTTCTGTAAAATAGTATTTAGCAATGCGAATTAGGTTAATACGATGTAGTTATATCATGATTAGTGACGTAAAGTATTGTTCTCTCGCATAGATCACAAAAATTTAATTGTCTTAATTTTCAAAGCGGTTTGTAAACCGGCCATAAGAAAATAAATTAAACAATCATAATTTTTAAAAGTTACATTTAATTATAAAGATTCTTAAAAATTGATATAAGAACAAATTAAAAGATACAACATTATATCTTGATACACTAAATAACTAATACGATTTATTTGAATATTTGAAATCTGCAAATCTTATTTTAACTCTCTGGAACCCATACGGAACCCAATATCTCTACCTATTGTCTGGATTTGAGTTCCTTCACTCTGCTCTATGTTTGTATTATTTTTAAGATCCCTATAACAGTACTATGTTTAACGTAAATTGCCGCCTTTATCGACACAACAACGATCGCCATGAACGTTACGCCCAGAAATCGTGCCGGACCCACGAAAATCGAACGACCCCTGCAGTAAGCCGAAAAAACTTGTAAGTCCCATCGAATTAATGACACCGATCTTGTAGAGCAGCTTTCACGTTGATCACGTTGTACGTTAAGTATCAAACATTATAAAAATATTATTGTTATTTGATTAGATTATATAAACCCTAATGATATTTAAATGATACAACGATATTTCAAAGCATTTAATATTGACCGATTTCATAAAAGATCAGTTAAGTGTAAAATCGTTAAGTGTTGACTCATTACGTCAACTATAGAGACATAAATAACATACCAATATGTATTGGTTATTGTACATAATATTCACATCGGCATGATTTAAAGAAACTACGTATTTACAATCAAAATTATAAGAAATAAATATACATAATAATTCTCACTTTACGTTACGTAGATAGGAAATAACTAGTTTATTAACATTTATGAGTAACATTCCTAGCCGCACCTAACCTCTTAAATCCCCTGTAATGAAAGTCGACAAGGGATTCTAAACTATATACATCTATCTAAATATATACTATATACACATCGATAAATTACAATAAATATATTATAAGCCACTAAACAAACCTAGTTATATATATACACAAAATTAATACCTAAGTGATTAAGTTCTAGGAATTAAATTATCTTTATTTTAATTTCTTAATTAGATTTTCATGAATCCTAAATTATCTAAATTATATAGTTCAATTAAAATTATTTTTTTTTTTTTGTAGTGTTCTTGAAATTCAAAATCGCACAAAGAATTTCTTTTTTTGTTTTTTATACCACTAATTTCACCAAAAAAGAAACAAAGAATTTCTTCTTTTTTTTTTTATACCACTAATTCCACCAAAAAAGAAAAATTCCTATACATTTTTAATTAACTAGACTTTTCACAAGCTACCTATCAATATTTTTTCGGATCAATCAACTAATTCTTTCCTCACATCATTTTTGGCTTTTTTAAACGGCCACCTACCGACCACTCCTTAATCAATTCTTCTTTAACAACTTCTTCTGTTACCCACCTTAACAATTCATCAGCACTATTCCTTGCCTGTGGATTGGGATCGAGGCTTCGATACAACAACTTTTTAGAATGTTCGCCTCTTACATCCTTTGAGCGAAAAGTTCTGATTAGGACTTGAATTAAATAAAAAATTCAGTATATACAAAACAACAATATACCTTCTCAATTCGGAGACTAATTTTTTCTGCATTTGACACCAGTTCTCGTAATAATTTGATATTTGTGTCAAGAAGACCGTTCCATGGACTTTCAGATTTAAAGAAAAAAATTAACTTTAAAAAAATTTCCTTCCCAAGTTAAAATATTTTATGAATACTTACGCTTGACCTGAAAATGTGCGCCAAATTAGAACGCCAATCGAATAAATATCTTCAGCACAAGGGTCATACGGCCCTAAAATTTCTTTGTCATGATTATTTTTCGGAAGAGTCATAATTGATCTAAAATTTAAATAATAAAAATCCATAAATATTAACAAGAATAAAATATTTAACTCAATAAAAAAAACGCACCTGTATAGTCTATAACCATGGTCTGGCGGTGTTTTAATCATGGGCAAAATGCTCAGCCTCTCATCTTCAACAGATCCAACGGACCATCTGGCAAATGAATAATCTTAATATCTTGAGATCTTTTGACAAATAATAATTTGATTAAATGATTTACCTTTTAACGTCGATAGGTCGGACAAATTCAGCTTTACCAAAGTCGATTATAACCAATTCAGGCATTATGCTACCATCCTTCAATTTTTCGCCAGTTTCCGATACCATCATATTGACCTCGGAGAGGTCACGGTGTGCAAAACCGGCATGATGAATGGCTCGGATACCTCGTAGCATATCGACAATGAGCTTATATTTTTGTTCACCCGTTAAGACACGCCTTGAATTGAAAGCATAATCTTTCAGAGTTTGCTTGTACCTACAAATAAATAGGTAGAATAAATCGCAATTAAGATATGTTAAAATATTTAAACAATTTTTTAATGTTATATAAATGTTGCCAAATTAAAATCAGTACAGATTATAGTGAATTTATAAGTTCACCTCCAGGTTTGAATTTGGCAATACTCATACAAATTTGAGGATATACCTTTCCATTGATAGTCCGACTAATTCGTCGCTGGGACTCTTATAAATTGACCTAATCTGACCCGCATTTGCAACACCTTTAGTTTTACTAAAAATGGTGTTTAAGAGTTAATAATATAGATGTAAGAAATAATAAATTATACGACTAAAACATTACTCACAGACAGCACACGGCCTCCCTAACACGAGTTTCCAACGTGTCTGACGTGATTTGCTTAAAGTTTTGAACAACAAAACTAGTGTCATCAGCAAAATGAAACACTCTTTTGAAAGTCCCTTCAGCCTCAATTTTAATGTTTCCGAGATCATGGAAACTTTCAATAGGAACATTTCGTGCTTTTGCCTCTGTAAACAAATAAGCAATAACAAAAAAAAAAAAAATTAATGCAGTAATGAACTAATCATTTAAATAAGTTTATCCGATGGCTACTACCACCCGCATATTTCTATAAAGCCAGCATCACACGTGCATTAAAAATGATGTGGATGGCAGATAGTTTAGTTATACCCTATCTATCAGGGTTTCAAGTGAAATTTTACCAGGAAATAACAGTTGTTATGTGCTCCGCGCTTATGCAGCAGATCACATGCCAATTAACTTTCTCAGTAAATTTCCACATATCCCTAGATTTCAGGATATAGCTATAATTAACATAAAAAAAAAAGAAAGGGGAAAAGATAGCATTACCCTTAACAAGATGTTCCCAAATAGATTGAGGAGTTTGAGGTTCGATCATTGCATCTTCTTGCTGCTTTAACTGTAAAGCATCAAGTAAAACATCATGTAATTCAGGAGTCAACAATTCCTTTTGATACTCCAAAACTTGATAAGTATTTTTTACATATTTATCATAGAATTTTCGCGTAATTGTAATATCAAGTGTTACTCGATTTATAAATGCACATTTAATCCATGCTCTTGCATCGACTAATTCAGGAAATTGCATACTATCTAATAAGTGTAGCTCCCCAAAAGGTTTTGCAATAAGAGCGTTACATTTTAATGAATCCTCATTTCTATTATATGTGATATTTTTGAGTATAACTAGAATAGAGTTTTTTCCATCTCTACAATGTGCGAGAGATGACCGACCAGAAACAACGTATAATCGCCCAAAATTACAGGTTGACACAGAGGGATCGAATTCCATTAATGGTATAAGCTCTAAGTTCATTATTTCACCAAGAGGGCGCGCCAAAGGATCCAATCTATCAATTACAGATTCTTTAAGCTTGCGATGTATACCAGCTTTATTATTGTCAAGAAAATTGCACAATGTCGTAATATAAATTCGGCTATAATGCATACAAATAAATGCTTGATAATTAATGTTTAGGTATAAATAAATAATCTAGTTTTCTAATCATAAAATTTATTTCTCACCTTTCAGCATGGGGAGTACAAATAGAAAGTTTCCTGAAATCTTCATGAGGAAGGGTTACATTATTTTTGGCCAATGATTCAGAAATTCCTTGTGCAGTATTGCCATTTTCACTGTTATCAAAAGAGCAAGAATTTATAATTAAGGAAAACAATAATAATAATCATTTATTACTATGAACAAAGGTTTATTATAATACCTCAAAGTAAGTACAGCTTTTTGGAAATATAATGATAGTTGTTTCGCTTCCTCATAAATAATATCACCTTCTCGGTGAAATTTAAATGCATTATACATGATTTGACAAATGTCTTTATACAAGTCTAATGGAGAAGAATAACATCTAGCCCAAAGTTTACGTTCTGCTGTGTTTAAGTCCATCAAATCTTTAATTATTGACCTATAGTAATATGCATCTTCTGCTTCGGGATTTACAAACGGGCGAGCATATGATGTCGACAAAAGTTCGTCAAAAATGTACGTTCCAAGTCGCAACATTTGTTCTCTTGTTAGTCCTGGCGATGGTGGCTTTAGAGATTGATAGAAATTGAATAAGGATTCTGCCGCCTTTGTAATGGGCTTTGATTGTGCATCAGTCGAAGATCCAGCTCTACCGTTTAATGAAAAATTCATTGGCTCGACCCCATTAGAAGTAGATGCTTGTTCTTCAGCTGGCCTAGCTGCTGGCGCATTATCGACTGCCTTTTCTTTGCCTTTACGTGACGTTACTCTTGCACTATTTTTAACTTGAGCAGTTATCAGAGATTTTTGGTCTTTTCGATTTTGCTTTACACCCGGCTTACGTCCCGGTTTCGAGCTTTTTTTTGCGCTCAAATTTTTTTTCGTTGATGCAACCGAATCGAGTTGTACAGGTTGTAATTCTTCTTCAACTTTTTCTAAGTCCAAATTGACTTGTGTTGAGCGCGTCTCGTCCTTGGTTTGTTGCGAGTCCGAACCAGCTTGTACGGGCCGCGATTCTTCTTCCATTTTTGATAATATTGTATTTGCTTGTAAATGTTGAGATTTTTCTTCAATCGGTGGTATAGATAAAATCGGGGATATCAAAGAATTGGCATTATTTAATAAATAATTGGTTGATATTAAGCCTTCACTGTTAGGTTTTGTGGCCTGTTCTTCACGAATCATAAAAGCTGGGTCATTATTGTTAACAATTTTTTCTCCAACTTCGCGCGAAGTTTCCTTCTTCACATCAGGTTTTTTCAGGACTAAGATATTAGGTGAGGATTTCAAATTATTTACGTCTTTCCAATTAGATTTTACATTAAAATTTCCTCCTAGTTTTACATCTTTATTTTGACTACGTTTTCTTTTCGCTGCAGTAACAAAATCAGCATGTAAAGATTGTGATACTTCCGTTTGTTGTGCAGGGGGGATTGGAACCGTTGACGAACTAGCATTATTTAACAAATCGTTCGTTTTTGCAAAAGCCTCACTTTTAGATGTAGCAGCTTGTTCTTCGGCAAAGATAAAGAGTGGAGCGTTATCTTCGACTGCTTTCTTTAAAGGGAATTTTAAAGAATCCAAGTCATTAAAAGTATGCTTAGCATTAGATTTTACTCCCAACTTTGAACTTTTTTTTCGATTCTTCTTTTCCGACATATCTAAATCAATTTGTAAAGATTTTGATGCCTCTTCAGTTTGTGAAGACTCTTCAGTTTGTGGTACAACAAAATCGAATTGCTTTCCATCGGTTTGTGATAAAGGAGGAGTTAACATTGACATAGAATTATCATTAGATGAATTGTCCTTTTTTTGTTGCGATACCAATTCAGATTCAGTTTGATCAGAAACGGAAAAGACCGAAGATGATGTATCATCAGAAGCTGTCAAGATTCCATTAGATGTAAAAACTTGTTCTTCAACAGAAAAAATGACCTGCATGTTATCACCAATAGTTTTATCGTCACCTTCATGGGAAACATTATCAGTATTAGGCTTTCTCGAGACCGATGTTTTTGGAATTTTTAAGAGATTTAAATCTTGTCGAACAACTTTTATATTAGGCTTTTTTACTATCTTTGAAACACCTTTTTGACCAGACTTTCTTTTCGAAGGTGTAACAATATCGGATTGTCTAGATTGCATAGAACTAGTAACGTTTAACGATCTTACTTCTAGGCCCTCAGCTGGTTTCCAAGGAGAGGACATATCATCATTTGGAGAGTATGAATGCCATTCATCATTTTGAATCAAATTCAGATTTGAAGGTGGTTGAAATTGCAGGGTTTTGACTTGTTGCCACGGTGAAGAACTATTAAAATTTTGAGAATGTAGTTGCCAATCTTTATTTGGAAACGGTACAATCATATCAGATAATTTAGGACCGGAGATATTAGGTGGAGGTTGTAATTCCCAATTTTTTACAGGTTGCCAATGAGAAGACCTATTAATATTTTGTGAATGCGATCTCCAATTGTTATTTTGAGGAGTAGGCATATCAGATTGGACAGAATTAGAAACATTAGATGATCGCAATTCCCAGTTTTCGACTTGTCCCCAAGGAGATGACCTATCTTCACTTTTCCAATCGTCATTCTTAGATGAAGAAACATGATCAGATTTATTAGATTGATTAGTAGCAGAGACATTAGATTGACGTAATTCCCAATTATCAACAGGCCATGAAGGTGCTTTATCATCATTTTGCGAACGTGGACGCCAATCATTATTTTGAACGTTTATATATCGAGAAGGACGAGGAAGCCATGCAGATTGTGAATGCATCGAATGCTGTGGCCAATCGTATCGTATATTATAATGAGGATTTTGACTCGGCCAAGACTGTCGAGGATCTGCAGGCTTCGTTAACTCGGTAGGAACGGAGCTGTACCAAGCGATATCAGACTGAGATCGTTGATCAGGAGTCATAACGACATGTGTAGGTAAAGTTGAATAAGGTAGTTGGATCTCCATGCGTGAAAGGGGAGGTTGTTCCGAAGGTGTTGAATAAGGAGAAGGTCGTTCTGTACTCATGTGTGAGTGTACAGGTTGTTCTTGTTTATTTGGTGTTCTCCTCGAAGAGTTTTTTTGAATAGGATCTTGCCTGCGAGCTTGTCGCTTCTCAACTTTCTGGTTTTGCTGTAAAGGAGGCATCATGAACGGTAAAGCTTTATGAGTGCGTGTTGAACTTTGTTAAAGGGGTTTAACGACAACAGCGAATATCTTGTACGAAGGTAACGTTTATCGTAAATTTAAAAGCTAACAAATTATCCGGACTAATACAAAAAAGAGCCGGATAATTCCGGTCACAAACTGTCAGATGACAATATTAGAACGGCGGTGCCGCAGCAAGTTCGAATAAACGTAATATTCGAACACAAACTATAGTCTCGCTCTCTTCACTTAAGCTAGTTGAAACGAAGCCAAAGTCAAAGGAAAAAAGTCATCAAAAAGTAAAACGAAAATAATTTTATAAATTCAAGCATGAGGAAATATTAAACTTTGTAAAGTTCTAGAAATTTTCAGAATTAATAATAATCGTCTCAATGATAAACAAGAAAGTTTTGAGTCAAAGTCCGGATACCTTCTTCCTTTTTTTTTTTTTTGTCTTTTACATAATAATACTTACAACACTGAATGATACACTTTTAGTAGCAGGTGCAAATTTAAAATTTAGGAAGAAAAAAAGAATGATAGTAAATAAAAAAGAAAATTCCCAAATAATAATAATTATCAGAACTTTGAAATGTCGAAAATTCTACACACATCTTTTTTTCCTTTATTTTAAGGTTGCGTTAATGCGAAAAAGCAACAAACGCCTGATGTCTCAATTATCGTTAGACGCTTACTTATGTACTAATCGAATTACAGGTCGGAAATCAGGTCGGTTGACCAACATTAATGTAAAAGTAATGCAGGCCGATTGATCGTCAAACCTCTAATTCTGGCCGCAAGTTAGGCACCACTAATATGAGTTTCTGAGAGATACTCTGAAAATGATTTTACTTTAGGATAAGCTTCAATTCTTAATATTTATATATTTATAATTTCATTAACATTAAATAGTAAAAAAAAAAAAATCATCAATCTATGATCGGAAATTGAAGACGCCGAATTTCCTTTTCCGGGATTTATATATCTACGGATCCTCAGGAGTTCGCCTAACCGGATTTAGTATTTTTCAACAAAACAGCATTTTAAGATGGGATAATACTAATTTTTTTATTCAGATTCATGACTAAGGATTAACGGTTTGATTTGACGCGTCCTTTTCGCGTACGTGACCAACCGAATAATATAAACAAAGATAATAATAATTGATTGATGTCGCGTGAAGGATAAGACCATCCCATTAGCTGGTGCTTCTAGTCGGATGCATATATGAAGACCTTGATAAAGACGAAAATTACACAGTATCATTTAAGATGGGAAAGATTGATATCTTTAGATCATATTAAATGTCAAGGAAATGATCGATCGCTCACATGAGATTGATTACATACATTTAACATGACCTATCTAACTTGTTATTATAAGTTTTGAACGATGTTAATCAACATAAAAAGCATATTAACAAACTTATTCAGGCTACTTGAAAAATCAAACCTTGTTCAACATGTTAAAAGTTTCGCTATAATCGAACTCGTATCGGTATCACAGTCGAGACAATTTAAATCACGTGAATCGTAAATCTTGAACGCATCTATCCCGTGGTCTATAATATAATCACTTCCTTTAACCTCTTCATTAACTAACGTTAATACGAAAATCTTAGCATTCCTAATATGCATTCTTCTATGCTATATAATAAACATATACAGTATGTGATTTGGTCAACATCAGTGAATCTCAAGACGATATGGATTAGCCGTAGAGTACTTGCCTACTTTCATGAAAATAATATCATCCATTTTTATCGATGTTATGTAATGAGAAATGTAAGGATTGGACCCGTCAAAATAATAATACAGATATCTGATATTTCTACACATTATACTCAACCTAGTTGTTCCAACCTCGGCTCAAAATATCTTTATCCATAAAAATCCATTAAAATTTTACCCGCCCAACCCGCCATACAAATAATTCAATAATTCAAAATCTATAATATATATATTTATATATACTTTATGTTTTCTTTTGATAAAAAAATAAAACATAATAAATATTTTCATACGGTAGAATATCTTATTATATACCTCATTTATTATAGTTATAGAACGTAATGATAAATCGTCGATCTTGACACTCATCGATTGGTCAGATAGCCTCTATATCTGATATGAGACAAACCCACGTGTCAAAGCAGAATCCAATCAGATAATATTAATATTATGCCTGATCAGGGTATAGCGTATAAACGTAAACCTTTTCAAATTTCGCGTTTTATCGTTTCCCAAAATGTCAGAGTTTCTATATTCTTCCGATAATGATTTATATTCACTTTTATCTCTTACCTCAGAAGCTACCCCAGCTGATATAAAAAAGGCTTATCATCGTCTAGCTCTTCAATACCATCCTGATAAACACACTAATTCAACCCCTGAGCAACGCGAAGAAGCAACCCGAAAGTTTCAGAATTTAGGATATGCTTATGCTGTACTTAGCGACCCTAAAAAACGTGAACGTTATGATAAGACCGGTGATGTTGATGGTTTTGAAGGCTTTGATGATATGGGGAAGGAAGGTTGGGATGCTTTCTTTAAGGAACTGTGGTCTGGCGTAGTGAACTCAAAATCTATAGAAGAGTTTCGTGTTGAGTATCAAGGTAAATCTTTTTTATTCTTCTAAAAAAAAAAAAACGTTTATTTTCTTTTTTCTATGAAGTTTAGTCGTTTAAACTATATGCTTGCTTGTATGATAGGTTCCTCTGAAGAACGTTCTGATCTCATTGATGCTTACAAAAAATATAAGGGTAATATGGACCTCATTATGCAACATATTGCATGTGGTGGCATTGAAGATGAGCCACGTTTTATTGAAATACTTCAAGGTGCCATTTCTTCGAAAGAAATTCCTTCATACAAAAAATTCTCTTCTTCCACTGCCTCGGCCGCAAGGACAAAGCGTCGAAAAGAAGCTGAACGTGAAGCAAAAGAAGCTGAAGAAATGGCTAAAATGTATGGCTTGGATCAGAAATTGCTGGAAAATAACGATGATGAAGAACAACTGAGACAACTTATACTTGCAAGAGGTGAGAAACGAATGAATGCATTGGTGGAAAGTCTAGAAGCTAAATACGGAGGAAGTAAACCGAAAAAACAGAAATCGACTAAGGAAAAGCAAAAGACCTCTAAAAAACAAAAGGAAATATGTATATCAGAACATCAATAAAGTTATAGAATTTTATACAGGTTTATTCCAAATTCAAATCTATATTGCTATAGCTAGCTTAGATTTTTCTATAGTAAGGCTATCAGAACAGCTTATAATCTATTTTATATTTTAGTATTTATATTTTTATAATAAACTTTTATAGCTTTATAAGTATTTTGCATTACTTTATATTAATACTTTTAATTTTATTAATTATAAAAGATATTTATAATGTTTAATACTATTCTTTAATTTGTAAGCTTTTTGTTTGAAAAATTATTAAAAATATGCTTATGATTTATTTTTTTAAATTTTAAAATATTTAAATAAAATTTTATTTAATAATATTTGAAAATAAGAATTATATTATAGCAGTATTTAATTTTAGAATATTAATAACTATAACTTATGGTGATCATCACCTAGAGGCTATATTTCAAAAAACACTAAGAAACAAGAGTCAGGTAGACTAAGTAAAAATGTTCAAAACTTCTGAAAACTTTATATAATCTAAAATTCAGACTATTATATCTAATTCTTGCTTCTGTCTCAAACTGCATTCTAATCCTAAAAATAGAGGTAATGATAATTACCATGGGTTAATTGTAATATTTTTCTTAATTTTATATTATAAGCTAAAAATATATATTGCTTATAAGCTAAAAATAAATTTAAAAATTTTTTAATTAAAAAAATTATTTACAAATTTGTAACAAATTTTTAAATATTAATTTTAAGTTTACAGTTCTTAATATAATATTTAGTTTTTTTAAAAGTTTTTATTTTTGAAAAACAATGTTTTGACTTCTAGGATCGATAGCATAACAGTTATGCTTCAAAGTCACAAATCACAAGGTTGCCAGTTCAAATTCTAGTAATGGCAATTGTAAAGATGTATTTTTAAAATAGAGAACTGCAACACTGTAGAACCAGGAACCTAGAATGTCCAATGGACAGATTTATTTCTAGAAATGACAAATGATTTGCAGTTGAAAAGCTACATAGTAATGAACATGAGTTGAAGCCTAATTTAAAATAATTGAAGTTATAAGATGTAATGTAAGACCAAAAGTTTGATAATAAGAGTTACTACATGAACTCATGATGATAGTCAGTTCTGACTAAAGTTTGACAAAGCCTTCTGATACTGGCAAAGATCGATGTAACAGTTGCTTCTGAAAAGTTTAAAAGTATAAACTAGGAAAGGTCAAGATTTAGTTTCAGAAATATATTACGAATATTAGTTCGAAAAATACAAAGAATGCTAATAGATCTTTTTTTTTTTTTTTGGTATTAAGGTGACCTCTTTGGTCTTTTGACTTTTATTAATCACTTATCGGTATTGTGGTTC